GCAAAATGCTTTCTATTGACTTTCTCTTGACCTTTCTACTATCATTCCTTGCTTGTGCTTGCAAGTTATTGGTCTCTGTTTCTTAAACTGGATCCTGTTTTACAATGATTCCTTTCTCTTTTTTCTTGCAATGATTTTTTAAATAGTAGTTTTCAGCTCTCCATTTGCTTACTTGAGGATGAATCTGTTTCATGCAGAATAACAATCCATCAGAATGTCTGGAAACTCTCTGGAAATGTTGGCATTCATGCTCTACTGATTCCATATCTGTCTTCTCCCATCTTACAGCTCTTTTTTTTTTTAGAATTCATTTATTTAGAACAGTCTGCCTTCCTGAAATTATAAACCTTAGGGATTCTACCCGGACAGTATTAAAATATACTTCAAAGCATTTATTCTTTGGTGCCGATGCTTGGCATTTTCTTTTTGACTGCGGAGCAAATGCTGCAGCCCAGCTTCCACAGGTGTCTGGACAGAATGTGACCTTGATCCAGTGGCATGATGGCTGGGGTGGGGGGTCATTCTGCTCGCAACCTTCATCCACCAGCACAGCTGTTGAGATAGCCATGGTGGTCCATCTTCTCCAGCCTGTTCTGCCATGGAGTTCCCAGTTCTCCATCACTGAGAAGGGAAGATGCAGAAATCCTAACAGAGTCCTTCCATGCTTCATCTTGTTGATGCTGACTCTTCCTTGATCATTGCCCAGGTTTCAAGGCAAGAATGAGCGATACTCACTTTGGTGCATACCACATGGAGATCACAGCTCTATTAGATTTCTTCCACCTCTGACTTCTCCTCATTATTTTCAATCATGTGTAAAAAGACTAGATCTCAGAGGTATTCCTACCTATCACTGTGTGTTAGCCATGTTACAGTGATTCCATGCATGTCATAGTCATGACCGAAAATGGCAACTTCTGTGTCTTCCATTTCATTTTTAAAAAGACTGCTGGCATTCAAGGACACACACGGCATCATCCGGTTCTCTCGAGGTCTGTTTCTCTCTCAGCAGAATGGTACCCTTCTCATTCAGATGCAAGCCAGTACACCTCTGCAGATAGCACTTGTTGCACAAAGCTTTCACCACTTTCGCAGAAGTGGTCTTCATCACCACATGTCCTCCTTAGCATTCCATTCCAGCTGACCAATATCAGTGAGTAACTGATCAGAAGTCACTGGAGTACAAATTTGAGGTAAATGAAGGTGGACCTATGAAGGTGGAGCATTCAATATTGTGCAATTATTATTATTATTATTATTATTATTATTATTATTATTATTATTATTATGCATTTAGTCATTTAAAAATATTATTTCTATTTCTTGATTGCTAATGCAATGCAACAAATTCGCAAAGGTCATATGTGTGCTATAATTATGTTTCTAGTATATTGTTTTAAACGACTGTAAAGGTGAGTGCTGATTGTGTATGCAAATTTGTCAGTGCATTTGTTAATGAAGTGCCTGAGTTGACCTTTACCCTCAACAATCTGGCTCTGTGCCATCGCAATTCAAAACGGGCGAAAGACCAGGATTATATCTGTCCCTCATTCCGTTCCCTCAGCGTTAACAGAACAGTGGGCTTCAGGCTAGCAGTTTCTCCTTGCCCGTTTCACGAAGCCAGAAATACTGGATTCAAATTAATTAGAGCGCATTCGGGCACAAAATGTTCATTATTGTTGTTTGCATAGATCTGAAGCACTAAGCACTAAAAGCTCGATCATAATCTTCTCTTCATTTAATAACGCCGAGGACTTTTACAGCACATTTTTATGCGCGCAGGAAAATAATCCGAAGTACTGCGTGTATAGCGTAGCTTTCTCCCGGGGGACACCATTCTGTATTGAGCTGTGCTGGCTGAGCAATGGTTTTATAGTATGACACAGCCAGACAGTTTAAGGTATATACTGCTGTCCCTATTAACCATCAGCGCTGACTGATCCATAATGTTTTCCAAGCACGTACTTTATTTTTGCCAAATGTTGTTCGATGATTAGCGATACGATGGCGCAGTGGTTAGCAATACCGCTTCCCAGCTGTGGGAGCCCCGCGTTCGATTTCAGAGCCGGGGTGCTATTCACGCGTGTTTCCTTCGAGGGCTCTGGTTTTCGCCCCACAGCGTGAAGACTTGCTGAGAAGTTAGTTTAATTGCTTTCTGGGAGAGCTGGTCCTGCCCTGAGAGCGTGTACCGTACGTGTCTGTGTCTGCCCTGCGATAGACCAGTATCCTGTCCAGGGTGTACCCCGTCTTGCGCCCGTTTCTTGCCGGGATAGACTCCTGCTCCCCCATGATCCTGAATTGGATGAAGCGGTTAGAAAATGGATGGATAGCATTCGTTTCACACATACATCGCAAATCATCACTCACGAAAGGTTTGCTTCAATTCTTAGAGCACTAATGAACAGATCCAGTTTTTTAATACTAATAATCCCACCACAAAAAGGTTAATACACAAAAAAGCAGTGCGCATACTGTGTTATTACACATCTTACAAAAAAGATGGTGTACTACATCATAATACATGTACAGTATATCCTCGAAATAAGAAAATCGAAAACGTTTTTTTTGTGTCTTTTGGGGATTTTGGAACACCTTGTATAGACTATGTGTAAGAACTTGAAAAGTAAAGACTATAATGAATGAAGTACGTAACCCAATTTGTAAGTTAAACTGAATAAAATCACAATGAGGAAGAAGGCTCCACAGCCGAAACGTTGTGTTTTTCTTCTCTTTTCAGCGTGGAAAAAGCCTTTACTTGTTCCTTTGCAGCCTAAGCATTCTGACGCAGTAGTATTGAACTACTTAATACAATCGCTACTAATAAATTAAATGTTTCAGTATAGCATACAAAGTTGTAAAAAGCATACTTCCACACACCAGTTTTCAGTAAACAGTCTCCTGAGTGAAATATTCATACCCCATCTATCACTAGGCTTATTAATATGCCGCAGCTTTCATTTAATTTACAGTCAGTAGTTAAGTGGCGAACAATGGAAATTTGTGGGAAGCAACAGGTCCTCAAGACTCCAAAATTTCCTCTACAACGGAAAGGCTATCAGTCTTGTTTTTTTTCCGAATTAAGCAGTGGTCTACTCACACATACACGTCGCCTTTTACCTTTCCGTTTCCACCCCTATATCACTCTCGTCCGCGCTGACGCTCAGCGCCTTCGGGAAACTGCCTCAAAACCGCAGTTTGCAGAACTCAATCTTTGAATATTAGTCTTATTAGATTGCTTTCTGCGTGGAGAAGAAAAACGGGAGACAACTGAATTTTCTTCCTTCGTATGGTCTTTATTTCCTAAACTGTCTCATTCCTCCCCTGATTGCTTCAAAATTGCTTAGCTGCGGCACGTCTCTTTTTGAGAGAACGGCAGACCATTGCTATCACGTTATTTAACTTCTTCATTCACCCACATACTGTACATGCACCGCTACCAGACCTTACATCCGAGTTATAAAAACCTTCCTTAGGAAATGGTAAACGTTATGTTTATTTAAAGTGTTGGAGGATGCGCTTCGTGTAGTGCACCCATACAAGTCGGACCGCACAATATAACTAAGGCATATTTAAATTATGCCCAGGTGGGGATCTGCGTCAGCTTGCGTTCGCTGCAAAGGAGCGAGTAAAGGTTAATTTCACGCTCAGATTAAAAATAGAAAGAAGAAACACAAAGTTTCGGCTGTCTTAAGGAGGACCGAAACGTTGTAATATTCAGTATGAATGCTTTAATATTTCACACATCCTTAGTATTACATCCGCAAGTATTGAGTACTACAGTTTAACTGATAAGATAAGATCACTTTATTGGCCATATACAATTTCTTGCATTAGGAATTCGTCTTTTCGCGTACCCCAACTTGCTCTCCATGAGACCCAGACACACAGACTAGTAGAGACGTTTTTTGGGGGAGAGCCGGGGCAAAGTTTCACAAAAGCCGTCTTTATTGTTACCCTGTTGAAATTAAAATGGAAAGAGGATATCCTTCCAAACGAAACATATTTTCCCTTTATTGCCTAAACCTGTGTGAACTATAACGCCGTCTTCATGGAGAATTCACCTGCAGTATCAATCTCGTCTCACCCAACCCGTCGTCGTTCGGTCTGAACATTCCTCCGCTGTTAAAAGATTTCAAACTGTAACTGTATTGTAAACCAATAATCCGCCCGTTTTCTAACTGCTTTATGCAATTCGGGGGCGCGGGAGAGCCGGAGCCTATCTCGGCAAGCAACGGGCGCCAAGCGGAATACTACTCCCTCCCTGGACAGGACGCCAGACCGTCGCAGCCAGGGCACACATAGACACAGACACAGATACGCACACACTCACATCACAGGCAGTTCTCCTTAGCAGCTATCTACCATGGTAGGTCTTTGGACCGTCGAAGGAAACCGGAGCGAAACCGAGGAGACCATACAAACTCCACGCAGATAGCGCCCCAAGTCCGAAATTGGACCGAGGGCTCTAACGTTACGAGACAGACATTACAAAGCACTGCGCCGCCACAGTTCTATATCTTAGTAGTAAATTAGGAATCAGGGAGGGGCCGAGGGTAGGGACTCGGGTCAGGAGCGGAGGGCTTCTCGTTCAGATTTGGGTTGAAGTACCGTGCTGCACGCCTGCTGTATGAGCAGGTCAGCAGGTCGCCGTCGAAAATGGCAGCTAGTTCTCTAATGTGTTACTGACGAAACATGGGAACGGAAACAAAAACAGGTTTAAATTCAAACTGCCTGAGTCTACGCAGGGTACCCGACCCCAGGATACAGAGGAGTGACTTCAGAGCTGAAAACTGAAATACACGCAGAGGGAATTACAGAGGAAATTGTTAGCGCTGACGCAGAACATAAAATTAAAGTGGCGCACAGATAGAAACAGAAGGTTTGTTTTCTCCCTCCCCCAAAAAAAAAAAGTTACTCGCCTTAGGGAACGGTGACTTACCGAAGACCTTGTTGGGACGTGTATAGACAGGGGTGGATGCATTGATACTCGGAGGACTTACCTATCCAGTGCAATCGCGGTCATGGAGTAGATGCTGGCGAAGACGGCGGCGATGGGGAAGAAGTTGTGAAAGCGGCAGTAGTCCAAGCCGTAGTACCAGTCGTTGTGCACAGCGTAGGTGAAGTTGATGACCGTGTTGAAAGCCGACATGGACGCTTCAGCGAAGGCCAGGTTCACCAGAAAATAATTGGTCACCGTCCTCATCTTCTTGTGAGCCACAATGATCCAGATCACCACGATATTCCCCACGACAGACACGATCACGATGGAGGTGTAAGCGATGGCCCACAGCACCACAGTCCAGATGGGCTGAACGAACTGGTTCGAGTAGAAATCGGTGGCGTTTTGTTCCGAGTCATTCCACTGAGACTCGGTCGTCGCGAAGAGCGGGTCCATCTCTTACTCTTCAGGCGCCTTTTATAGCAAACGTTTTGTCTTATTTTAAATCGTACATTCAGGTTTCTTTATAGCGATTTTAAAATGCTTCTATAGCCCACTACACATCGCTGTACGTACAATTAATAACGCATAGGAACAACCACTATACTTAAGTTTGTAATTTAAAAAAAAGGGTTTAAAGAAAAACTTTTACTGGGAGAACTCCGGCGGACCAGCGAACAGAATCGAAATGATTCATAAAACAACAGGTTGAAGTTAAATATTTTTTTAAAATGACATTGGCATCTCTATACCAATGGACATCGACGGTGAGAGATTACAGTCACCGCTACTGTTAAAGCCAAACCCGACTCTTCCGACACTACAGAAGCAAAAACAGGACCATTAGACAATTTAATCTGGGAATATAAAAAAAAAACAGTCACCGAGTTCGAGTCGGTAACTTTCCTCGACGAATGCAGCTGCTGCCAGGTGTCCACGAAACATATGCCGAGGGTCTCAGTCCCGGAGGTCTGCCTTCAAATCACGAGCGAAGCTCTGCGGTTTCACCCCGGACAGCCGCCTGAAGTTCGGAGTCAAAAATAGACCGAAGGGGAGAGAGGCAGCATACCGGCACAAGGCTGGGTGTAACGAAAGCGCTGCAGTCACCGGCTTGGCGTGCTGGGCTGGGGACTCGGGTGACGAGCGATTAAAAACGACGCGTTAGATTTCTAAGATTTGGTGGCGAACTGAACAAACGAGGAGAGCGCAGCCAAAGGAAAAAAAAAAACAGCACAAAAAATAAGCCAGGTGTATATTTCTTAAACCCTGCTTCCAGAATTCTGCAATGGCCAAAAAAGAGCAAAACAACACGAAAACTTTCACAAGTATTCAAAGCGGTGGACCGCAAAGCGCGCTGGCTTTTGTTGGGGGGGGGGAAAAGCGTTAAGGGTTAGAATTAACGGCCCCCGGTGTGAAATGGCAAGCGATCCGGTCGTAAGACTGACTCTGCTCTTCTTGCAAAACACTGCTTGCTTCGCATAGTGTTTCTCTCTCTCCCTCTCCCCCTCCTCTGTTTGCTTGCAGTCTATCACTCGAAGCGCTCTATGACTGATGGGGAGAGGAGGGGAGAGTAGGGCCAGCTGAATTTATATATATTCTGAAGAGAGACGCGCTATCCGCTACGACATGTACGGTATATAATAACCACGGGACTAAAATCGTCCCAACTTCACTATTCCTACAGACTGTTAACGTTGTGACTTACCAATCCGCCAATACAAAGGGTGTGTGTCTATGTTTAAGCTATTATTGTTATCCAATATATTCTTTATGCACCGGCAGTGAAATACGCAGCTAGGCTTCCATTCGAAGAACATATGACATAATAAATATTCTGAAACTTGAAGTACTGAAGCGGAAAGGTCTTTCGGCACATCTGTCCATCTGTCATTCTTCATTCTATTTTTAAGTCATCGCGTATGTAAATATACTTAAAGTGTTTTCGTGAGCAAAGTAACCCCGTTCTGCTGTGTCCTTTGACTGAGATCGTTGCAGTAGTTCTAACTCATCCCCCCACCCCCACCCCCACCCACACACACACAATCCGAGTCCATCCACCCGTTTTCAAACTGCTTCATCCAATACAGGGTTGCAAGGGAGCCAGTCTATCTGAACAAGCAACAGCCCAAGATAGAGTACACCTGGTTTGGGACACCAGTCCATCACAAACATCGATCCACTCACACCATGGCCCATGAGCCTACACTGTGTGTCTGTGGACTGTGGGAGGAAACCAGAGCACCTGGAGGAAACCCACACGTACATGGGGAGAACATGCAAACTCCACACAGATAGTACCCCAGGTGCAGAATTGAGCCCAGCAATGCTGCAACACTACCCCTGTGCCACCATGCTGGCAGCTCTGAAAGGCAACTGAGATAAAAAAAAAAATATGCCACGTTAAAGATCACAAATAACAGCCAATCTGAAGTAGATCTAACTGCCACATCAAATAAGAGTGATGTTGCCATCTACCAAGATCTGTGAACGTATATCTTCTAAACATTGGTATGTTATGGAAATGACTCCACAGTAAAATACTGCAGAGACGAAAGGGTCACATTACTAATCCTTTTCAAGGGCTCACTTATCCTCTTTCTCATTCCATTTCACTCAGATATATCCATTCTAACGCAAAAGGAAGACGCTGTTGTCACAGGAGGTCCTAATGTTCTCTACATTATAGGTAGAGGGGAGACGCAGCAGCAGAACCGCAGTGATCATGGTATGGCATGTTTGAAAGTCTGCTCTGAAACGGAAGAGGCAGAAGCCCAAACAAAGGTTTATCATTTCAGGAAGGCAGGCTACGGAGGAATGAGACACAGCTTCAGAGCAGTTGAGGGGGGCAGGACAGATATGGAAGCATCAGTGGAGAATGGATGGCAACTCGGCGAAAGATATTCTGCTTGAAGCGGAGAGCAAACTCGTGTGGCGAAGTGGCCAAAGTTGTCCAATAAACCCTCCAGAAAATATAAGGAAAAAGAAAACACATTATAAAATGGTTAAAAGTAACACCTTGAGATGTAGTATAATAAATTGCAAGCACAAGTAAAATATAAGAAAAGGAGAGAGAAGAGAGAGAGGAAAGGCTATTGTGTACATATGCTAGAGTATATAGTGTGTGTGATGAAGGGCTGTGGCACACCCTCATCACATGACCTCAGCATTGTTACTTTCTTGTTTTATTCTGGGTAATAAGGGAACCAATAGAAAAAACTATCTTTAGTTTATTGAAAATAAGCATAGTTATATATTGGTTGTTATTTGCATATTTGCATTTGTGTTTTCACAGTACTGTTCTTGTCTCCTGTTTGTTCCAGTTAGAGACCACAGCTCGGCTCTGGTTTAAATGGAGGCTCACCTGTCCATCAAGCCGAGCTGGTGGTGGAGTTTGGGGTACTGATCCAGTTAATCTTGATTTTAGTCTTGTCTTTGTGCTGATTGCCCATGTCTGTGTGATATTACACAGCTTGGTTTAGTAGGCATCTCTGTAAGTAGGAGGTTCCCTGGAGAAACAGCAGTTGTTTCTGCTGAATGTTTTTCTTATTGCAAATATTTTGTTCTTGTAATTTTAGTAAACTAACACCATTTGCATTATTCTTTTGTCTATAATATTTATAATAATCTATTGCTAAGTGGTTTGATAACCAAACATATCATTATCACAATAATAAAAAAACAGTAAAGGATGAATTGAAGTTTCTCAGACATAACAAGATAAGATAAGATCACTTTATTGGCCATATACAATTTCTTGTATTAGGAATTTGTCTTTTCGTATACCCCAGCTTGATCTCCATGAGACACACAGCCAGGGAGAGAGGCTTGGGGTCAGAGCGCAGGGTCAGCCATTTATATGGCGCCCCTGGAGCAGTTGGGTTTAAGGGCCTTGCTCAGGGGCCCAACGGAGTAGGATTCCTCTGCCAGCCACAGAATACAAACCGGCAACCTTCCAGCCACAGGCGCAGATCCTTAGCCACAGATCCACTGCACCACCCCCTGTGGAGGCATTTTAGACGATGAAAGGGAAAAAGCTAATACTTTGAATGCATATTTATCTCAGCTGTTTACCAAGGATGAAACCACCAACATTCTTCAGGTTAGAGAAGGACAAAGTTATGAAAACAGTAATTAGAATTACGTTAGATGATTATCCGCATAGCATTAGAACTCTAGGCGATAGTCAACATGGACTTAAAATCTGCAGCTTTTTCTTAATTAATGAAATGAATCTTAATTAAGGCAGAGTTCTTTAAGAAGCAAAAAAGAAAGCTGTCAATGAAGTTCCTCATTATAAATTGCTTGCGATAAGCATTCAAGAAAGTACATATCTTTGTATTGAGGAATTTCAGTTCAGTTTATTTGGCATATGCGCAAGTGCAATGAAATGGTTATTTCAATGTATGCTCAACGACATCAAAGTTAGTGTAAATTAGACAGTATACTGTAGATAAGGAGTAAATGCTCAAATTGTAGTAGTGCCATTAGTGCAGTACCACAGTGATCAGTATTAGAACCATAAGTAAAGTCTGGTATACTTAGCAAACTAGTCAAATTCACAGATGAAAAAGTAAGGGTTTATTCCACCCCGAAAAGAGAAGGAAAGAAACACAATGTTTCAGCTGTGGAGCCTCCTTCACACCTGAAACAACAAATCATGTTCAAAAAGATTTAGACAAATTTTAAAACTGGGCAAAATCCTGGAAGAAGTGGCGAATGTTACATACAAGTAGCAAAGAAATACACACAATATAAGAGATGGAAAGCACTGACCTTGAAGATCATAATAGCGAAAAGATTTTTATGTTAACCCGTCATTTCCTTTTCCTAGATCATGTGGGTAAGGAATAAAAAGGCAAACAAAATGATAGTATTTGAGGCAAGGGATGATATTTGAATATTGTCCAATGAACAAGTAAGAACTTTCAGAATAATGTGTATAACTTTGATCAGCACATTACAAAAAGTAGAAATTGAGAAGACTGTTAGCATTCCTGGGCATAAAGGAATGTCCTACATTGACAGGCCAGAGAAACTGAATCCTTAGCCCTTAACACAGAAGGCTTTTGAGACATCACATTGAAGTATTCAGAGTACTCAAAGGCACTCAATCACTTGGCATTTTTCAACCCAATAAATATATAATGCACACACGAGGCATTTTTAACACAGAGGGTGGAACAAGCTGCCCAGCTGTGTTTTTAAGCAATACCTTGACTGGATTAAATAACTGCATCACTTATCTACTAACAACCTAATGAACTAGACAGGCTCGGTGTCCTCCTCTTCTATATCGTGATTAATTATTATTATAGCCATTCATTTTAGCCGATACAGGGATGCAAGGAAGCTGATCTCTATCCCATCAAGCAACAGGCGCAAGTCAGGATACACCCTGGATGGGACGCCAGTCCATCGCTAGCACACACAGACTTGGACTCACTCACACCACCACATAATTCCTAGAAGCCAATTATCCTACCAGTATGTCTTTAGACTGTGGGAGGAAACCAGACCACCTGGAAACCCACTCAAACACGTGGAGAACATACAAACTCTACACAGATCCCAGGAATTGAACCCAGGGTCGCAGCCCTGTGAGGTAAAATACTACGTTCTTCTTCTTCACCACGGTGTATTTAATACATGGGTCACGAAGGACTTCAGAATTCTATACAGTGAGAGACATTTTCCGTTGCCTCTGCCTGCTTCGCTTTCCATACTGAGGCTACCCACATAGCCGAGAGCAGACTGCTGTGTTCATTTATGTTGGCCTTCTCTTTAGCAGGTGGGCTATACTGGATAATAAAAAGAATAATAGAAAAAAATCCGACACTGTGTTTGTCATCGATTTTAGTGCGTTAGAGAACAATTTCGGCATGTTTTCTTAAATGGCTTCTGATTCAGTAGTGTGTATGGTCAAGAATACGATAGCAGCACAAGGGCTGTTTTTTTATTAGCAGCAGCAGCTGTGGTCTTGCCTGCAAAATAAAAACAGACAAAAAGAATCAAAGCCATCTCTAACAGCGCGTACGTTTTCTCCTTTGTTCCCAGAACCTTTCAAACGCGCTTCGTACTACGACACTTTCTCGCATTTGTTACCCTTAAGAGATGAACATTACGAAGGGGTTCATTCTAGATGAAGTCATTTTAATACTGTTTTAGATGTTGTTAGATGTTGCGCAGCAGCCATCTAGATGTAGTTTCTTTCATTTTAATTTAGCATGCACAACACCGAGCCGAGCAAGAAGATGACAGAAAAAGATGACAAAGAGTTTATATGAATTTTCCCGAGTCCATTTCTTTCAAAGATCAAGCAAGGTCTTGTGTTTACCGAAACACTTTTACATCCGATCCAGGAGTAATAATGAGCTCTCCTTGAAAAGAGTTCACAGAACGGCACCTGTTAGCTACATAAAAATCGACACTGTCGAAATGAATGTCAGCGCACCGGCTCGGGTAATGATTGCGTCACGAAGGGCTCAAGCTCCGTGCGAGTCTCCAGTTTCCTTTGCTCCGCGTGGCGGCTTATCTGTGTCTCTCCGAGGACGCCTTCTCACCCATATCAGTATATAAAATAGGTTTTATACAACAATACGCACAACTAATAATTCAGTCAGTAATAATTCAGTCAGGCCATTAATCATGGGGAACGGGGGTGCTACACAGAAAATTGGTAAATTAATCAGCTGAAAGCGTGCATCCGTACCGAATGTGCTATTTGTGACCTCTCCATGAACCGAGAATTTCATATCCCCCGGGAACTGTCGTCATGAATTGGTATTGACCAGGACAATCATCCCTG